TTTTCTTTCACTCTCAGTAACCCTTTGCGTCTTAGTGACATTATCTCCTCGCTTGAAGTGAAGTGAAAGATTCTGTAGGTTCAGTCCTGATATTCTTTAGAAAGCTGAAAGTTTAAAATAGTCTACAATGGTTTTATGTGTGACGATTAAGGGAATTACATAGAGACAAGTACACATCCCGAACAACGAAAACAAAATTATCAACAAAAGACTAAATGCAAAGAAATTTCAAAAACCTAGAAGCTATTATTATACAAAATAAAATGCAAAAAAAGACACACACACACATACCCCCCCCAAAAAAAACAAAAACAAAAAAAAAACAACCCATATTAAATAAAATATATTTCATCACATGATACGCTATCTTGAAGTGGATATGATATATTTGATATGCGTTTAAAAAGAAAAAGAAATTTTTATTTTCGTGCGGTCTCGCTCCCTGTATATGACGACATCGTAATTTCAGCTTGCAGAAGACAAACGGAATCTTGACTAACACACACACACACACACACACACACACACACACACACACACACACACACACACACACGATTATAGTTTTGATGGCTTGTACAAGACCAACCAAACTCTTTGGAAGAAGTGAATACAGAATGCTGGGATAAATGGTGTGCTGCAATCACTTTTCGCAACACTCACTCCAAACACAATAACAAATACGAAAGCACGCTCGAAAAACAAAAAGTTCCCGGTATCCACGAGAGATCTGACATCTCTGTCAACTAACCGGAGAGAAGAGGGGAAATTAAACTAAAGGAAGAAGAAACAAAAAAAATGGCCGAAGGGCATACATTCCTCAGCTAAGTTAACTTTATGGGAAGAAACTAAAGAAAGAATAAAAATAATCTGTCCTATTTTGGGCGGGCTTTCTAATGTCCAGTACAGAGCATCAAAAATCTCTTGTCTAACCGCCATCGAAATGCCACTCTAAATCAACTCCTTTCACTCGACACAGACGTGAAAGATTCGCCCACCTTTCGTCAAATTCCGTTATGATCATGACTTTAAGCTGTTGCCTAAAGAACAAGATCAGTTGGGAAATATCAACTTCACAGCCCATGGAATTCCTTCTGCCGGGTCTTACACAACACGACTCGCATAAAAACCGAGTAAGCAAAAGAACACATCGTGTTCAGCCTTCGTCAACAACGATACCACATTGCTACAGACAGCATGGTTTCAAGGACTAAGAACTTTCCACGCAGCATGCGAACCATGAAGTCTTCGTTTAACCGGTACAACATGCGTACGACACATCAGTGGAACAAAGTTCGATGCTTTCCTCTCATTCACACTAGTCCCGCTGAAAAAAAATCCTCTTCCGACCTTTTCACAAACAGCCTGACGAGACCTAATGACCAATCGAGTGGTACACTTAAATTCTTGCATACCAAGGAGGAGAGCGATATTTATTCTGTTTAATACACAGAAGTGTGGCACAAGGCCTAAGGGGGGATTGGGGAAAGGACGGTCTTCTTCTGTCTTAACTATAACTTAGCTAGCCACAAACGCTGACCCAATCGCACAAACAATATTCCTTACACCAAAACAACACATTCATACGTACCTTTCTTACTACAGCCACCATAATACCTCATCCTCTCTGTGAAAATACTAACTAGTTTCCATATTTACAATTCATTGTCTGTGGGAGGAGGGGAATAAAACAAAAATTATAAAAAAACTAGCCCCAGTGAGTATTTACAAATATGAATACAAAACTATTTACAAGAAACTAAAGAAAATAATATTAGTAATAAAAAGCACCCACAATCACTAAATGTGGCAGTAATATCAGTACACTAGCCGAAATCACACACACTGATACGCACTCATTCAAACACAACGACAAATACGAAAAACACTCATGCGAAACGAAAGGTGCTCCGCATCCACCAGCGAACTAACATCACTGACCACCTAACGAGGGAGGGGATAGGGAATTAGACTTAAAGAAAAAATAGGGACAGAAATAAAAGGGGGTCAATAAGCATACATACTTTTATGGTCCGTTTCCTTGTACCAGTGATAGTCCAAGGTAGAACCAATAAAGAAGAACTCGAACACGGATATGGAATAACACAGATATATTACAAACAGGAATATATACAGAGAAGTAGAAAGTGTTAATACGAACAATGAGGTTTAGTAATAACTAGTAGTAGAGCCCGGCGTTGCCCGGGGATATAACAGTAAGAGATAGATCAAGTATCCACCATCATAAAGACTGAAAAATAAAATTGACAAAGATTATTGTTTAAGGTTGACGGACACGCATGTCTTAATTAGTTTTTTTTTTTTTTTTTCTTTACGAATTGGTCAAACCCAAACTCAAACAAAAACATTGTTTTCAATCGTTATGAGTCTCCCGATTGAATAGAATAATTTTATAAACAATTGTCTTGTAAATGGAATTTTAAAGCATTCTGAATGTAAAAATAAAGAAAAAAGTGTGCAAGACAATAAGAAACACTACATGCCAAATAAAAAAAAAGTGAATTTTTTGTTGAAATCGGTTTGAAAAATGTAGGTAGTCTTTCTCTAATCTTTTAGTTTTACAATTTATGATTTTTACTTATTGAATACAGTAAAAAAAAATTGCATATTTTGCTTGTGGTGATTCATAATTAGAATTCTGATTTGAATATATTTTCCTCGTTGTTTCTAATACAAAAATATTAACTTTATTTGGGTTTATTAATTATGATCTAACAAATCTTATTTATTTAGTAGCCTTTCTGTAATAATAATCTTTTACAATTTATGATTTTTACTTATTGAATACAGTAAAAAAATTGGACACCATGTGTATTTAAAGTAGTTATTATTTTTAGTTAGGACTTGTGTATGTTTAGATTTCATTATCTTTCCCTAAAGATAAAGAATTTATTCCAATGTTTGTATTCGTACAATCAGTAGAGATCTTTAGATTATTGTTTAAGTTTGACGGACACGCATGTCTTAATTAGTTTTTTTTTTTACGAATTGGTCAAACTCAAACAAAAACATTGTTTTCAATCGTTATGAGTCTCCCAATTGAATAGAATTTTATTATAAATAATTGTCTTGTAAATGGAATTTTTAAAGCATTCTGAATGTTAAAAAAAAAGAAAAAAGTGAAGTTTTGTTTTATCGGCTGAAAAATATAGGAAATCCGCTCCCATATTTAAAGGAACCCACACACACACAAACAACCCGATGTGACTTGTCCTCCTTCCATTTTCACGATGTCTCTTAATCGTGTTTTCAAATTGATTTTGTGCAAAAACAATTATATTTTTCCCATTTTTGGCGCTGTTAGAACCACCACAAGGTAATTTTATGTAGTCCTGTGAAGTTTTGTTGAAATCGGTTGAAAAATGTAGGAAATCCGATCCAATATGTAAACGTTACAGACACACACACACACACACACACACACACAATCTGCGTTTTATAATAAGTAAGATTGTCTGAACGCGACTCTCGATTGTGACTGACTCGCTCTCACTGACTGACAGACTCCTGATGGACTTCACTCCAGACATCAGACTGAACAGTATTTAGTCACCCCCCCACGAGGGCATCATGTGGCACAAGGCCGGTTTAACGTGGGATCTCCGAGCCCGTGGCCTCGGCCAAAAATATGCCCTTTGAAACCGTATAAACGTGTTCAGAGTGGGTTTACCTCCCCGAAAGAGACTCCGCTCTTCGGCGTAGCGTCGTTCGGGTTCCTCCCCGCCCGAAGGCAGAGAGTTCAACCGATCAGCCGGTCGCCCGACTTCGGACTGAACTCCCTGCTTCCTCTTGAGGCGCAGTATTTATTACGTATGGAATAGTCCATTATGTTATTAAGGGTAAGGTCCCATAACACATACCCTAGCTAAGTTAATTGAAAGAAAAAGAAACTAAGGCAGGAGAACTTGATAAAACAATTGCAATGAACATATTTATAGTAAAGACAGAGGAAAGCCATGTACTTAGTTTAAGTAAGACAACTTTCGCTATTCTCATACAAACAATTTTTCTATCACAATTTCCGCCGTCTGTTAATACGTTACAAAGTTAAATTTCTTGCAAACTCTGTTAAAGGTATCCCCAGCATTCATCGATAGAATCAAAACGCCGTTGCTTCAAGTCTCTTCTTTCTGTAACAAGATTGATAAGCTTTTGCTGTTACAGATGAAAGTAGATGTTACATTTGAATTCAGCATTGTTTTCTTTGTTTTTCACATTTTCTCATCTTAATTACCTCGCTTAGATTCTGTAAGGCATATTTCATTATTCCGATGCATTTTTCGGATATCTGCGCACCATTTTCCGTCTTTTAAAATGCAGGGAAATATTTAAATTGGAAAAAGTTATTTTTGATTTTTTAAAATCTGTTTTATCCTTTTTTTTTTTATTAGAGCCGCTTTCTACCGCAACACTCAGGAGATGAAAACAACAGTTGTGTCACTCCGACAATGCCTGAACATTTATCTTGCAAATTTGAATGCCCCTATAACAATGTTTTTATCTTACCAATTTTTTTCTTCGCAGACCGACCAGCAGGTGAATATCAGATTAAGCCAATCATTTTAATCAACGGTATATTGTTTGTTTAAGCCAAACGCCCAAAAGAAGTAATAGTCTTAATCTGTCCGAATTTCTGAGATGTAATTTAAAAAAAAAAAATATTAAATACTTTATCTTTCAGTGTATTGATCGATTGATTCATTAATTTTCTACGGCTTACCAACCCTTTGCAAGTTATTTAAAGCCAGAAAATATCTTTAGATTTTACCATAATTTTAAATTGTAAGAATATTTTTTTTTGGAGATAATAATAGTTTAGTGATACAAGTCTTACTAATTAACCCATAGATGGGGGAGAAGAGGTGGATTCAAACCTTTCGCCAAGGTATTTGCATGTAAGTGAATATAAAGAATCCAACTGGGATTAGAACTCGACTCTCTGATTAACAATTATCCATTACACCAGCCGCACATCCAAGCTTACAGCACCTGGTATGCACACGGGGTCACCCATCTAGGTACTGGCCAAGCTCGATGTTGCTTAACTTCGGTGATCGTACAGAAACCGGGATTTCAATGTAGTGTGGCCGTGAGCATTTCAGATCGTTTTGAAATTCTACAACCGTTAAGTAAAATTTAATTCGAATACATCTTTAACTTAAGGGGTAAAAAAAGGGGCAAAAATATGTACCAAACTTCAAGCAGTAAGAATTGTCTCCAAGATGATTATTTTTCATATGCCTGTATGGCTAGGTTCTGAATAATAATTCTCTTCATCATGCAAGCTAGGTTTTAACTAATCAGCCCAGTCATGTAATATCAGCATAAAATAACCTATTGAGGGAATTAGCGCCTTTATGCATTTCAAAATACTCAACTTGGGACCGCGTAAATTTTTCCAGCTCCCATTCCATTTTTCAAAACAATTAGCCAGATAATGTTTAGAGATTGCTACCAGTTATCTGCTTGCGTTTTCCTTAATTCCAACCACGATTTGTTGTCGGCACCCGCTCGCATCCGAACATCGGAAATCGTAATCCTTTCTCTCTATTCCCTTTCCCCCATTGGTAGCAATGGCGAGGGAGGAGATGGCTATAAATCAAAGGGAGTTTGACGAGGCCCGTCACGTGAAGCCCACACACATGGCCAGAAGCGCCTCCCTGGCGCCTTCGCTCTTGGTATCACAGGGACATTTACACTGACAAGGAATGACCATATATATTTTACACTGGATGTCGGAGTGAACAGTTCATTATCAAGTATACCACCTTGACGTCCTTACACGCCACTGGGTGGCATGACACTAGCGTTTACCGCTGGTGGCCCGCTGTCTCGGCAATATAGCCACTGGCGGACCACTAGAGGTCCGCCGGTGTCTTGTCGGTGACTGCCACCAGAAGACCGCTGGCTTTGCCGTCGGCGGCCTTCCAGCGGCCCACTAACGGCTTGCTTGTAGGGTTACTATTACTTTAATGACAACAAGAGAAACGAATCAATAAATATGAAAATAATAAAACTAATAAAATTTCACCCAAGGTTTAGAAAGTCATTCAAAGTCGATTTTAGTTTTTGGGAAAGTTAACAACCTCTGGTTGGGGTTAAGGAACACGATGGAGTTTTTTTTTTTGTTTTTTTTTTATGAAAGTCTCGATAGTACGTGAGGAATGAAGTGTCGAAATATTCAAGACAGCCAGGTATTTTCCGGACATCGAATTTATCTTTTTGCAAAATGAAAAGAAAAAGGAAAAAAAAAAAAACAACAAACAAAAAACCGGCAATTGTTTGCAACTCACTGTTTTGAATAATTTCGAATTATAAGACAAAAATATTCTTGTTTGGAATAATTTGGCAAAAAAAAAAAAAAAACCCAAACAAAAAGCGTCGGTCCTCGAAGACAATTTTTCTCGCCAATGCCAGTCTTCGTTGTCTCCTTTTCGAGTGGTCAGGTAGGGGTGAAGAGCGGGTATATGCGATTGGGACTGGAACGGCGAAAAAGAATGCTCTAAAGACGACGGCGTCTTTTATTTCTGTGAGTCAGAAAAGGCGCGTTTAATTAATTATTTTTTTTTTCACTGATAAGATTTTCTAATTACTTGCATAATTATACACCTCGACGATGCTGGATGAGAGAGGCGAGAACGCAAGAACGCTCATGGAAGTACAAAACATCACACGCGTAAAACGTGCAAGCACACACACTCACACATACAGACATACACAGAAATAAATACACGTCTAAACACACATGCACATACAGATCCGCTCATATACACATAATTGACAAAAACCTTGTATGCAAAAACGATTTTTACAAAGTTTCCAATGTTTACAAATCTTTGATTTTAATTAAAGAATTTTTGTTATTTGTAACAAATGACATAGTCTTGCTTTCGTAATTTGGTTAAATTTTGGTGGGGAACAGATATAGCAGCAAATCTTATTTTTGAGGGGTGTTTAATAAATGTTTAATTTTTCTTGGAACGATGTGGTCGTTTGGCGTTTAGGGAGACAATAGGTCTGCTTTTCAATGTTTCAAATCTGTCTACGATTTAATACTGATTGAATAGAGTAATTGTGGCACAAGGCCAAAAAAGGGGAGATTAGTCAATGCTGGTCGATATTATCATATACCTTGCTAATTAGATTCATGACACATTTATTCATCACAATTTATTCATTCACCATAAGAATCTATGTATCAACATCCGCTCCTACATACACCAAAATACCTCTCACACACTGGGCTCCTACTGAAAAAACACCCCATGACTTAAAATTTCAACCTGTAAAATTGTATAAAAATTCTAGGAATATTATTAAATGATGAGGGGGGGGATGATGGACCCGAAACAAACTGAAAAAAGAAAGATGTTATTAAGGCAGGTCCACCCCTCAAAAATAAGATTTGCCGCTATATCTGTATTTCAATCTTCCGACAAAATCAAGAGGCCCCCTTTTTAAGGGAGGGAGAAGGATAACAAAAATATGGGTATTAAAAAATTAAAAAAAAAATGACACAGCCGAATTGAAAAGCGTAGACTAAAACAAACTATGGAAGCTGGGAATCCCGGCTTGGATCGTAGGAAAAATCCATGCAGAGGCCGGGAGCGACACTTACTCACATTAACTAGGAACACTTAGAAGCGACTATCTTAACCAGGGGAGGGCTTCACAAGAAACCGCCCCGTTGTGACTTGGGGGAATTAAAAATGAAAATCAAGGCTAGCCTAGTTCACGCGAACCAGGCTCAACATAGTTACCCACCTTTCACTGAAATCTGTCAATACCAACCACTTTCTATCAGTTCTAATCTTCATCCTGAGCTGATGATCAAAGAATCTGATCACATCCTGATGAGAATAGCAATCACATTGTTAGATTACCTCCATCTGAATCGTGCAGATCACCATTCTAGCCATGGCCAACAGCATCAGAAACACCATCCGTTCCATCGGAGGCGACACATCACACGCGTATTCGCGATCAATGAATACGGACATTTCGGGAGCGATACGAGCCGTCAACTCGCCGACAGAGGGAGCGCACGCAAAGACAATGGTGGAAGGCTTACGTAGCCGTTTTCTATAAGTCAAGGTCACATCGATGACAATAATTCCGTCAAGCCCTATCTGACGGCTACTTCATGTTTTCTTTGTTAAAATTTCTCCTTTGACGCCATATTTTTCTTCTTAAGATTTCGTCTTATCGCCATATTGTTTTGTTGGCATTTTTTTTTATTGATCTTTACTTCAATAATATTCATTTTATTTCCTCACATTTGAATCTGTCTTTGATGAGATTTCTTCATCAAATGCATCTCGGCGTAGACAATGAATTATTCTCAGTTCCCTGCACAAGGCAAAGTAATCGGAGTACAAATGGACGCTGAAAAGTATTCGGGTTCAGTTACCAGAATCACTGTTTCAATCCCTAATTTTTGATTACTAATTTGGGGTGCACAGTCTGCACAGATATCAATAGTTTCCCTCAATGGGAACATTCTCTGGCTCAATGGCTTCTGCAGGTCATACAACCGGTCCAAACATTTTTTGCTAAGCATTGTATACCTGATTCGTTCACGTTTGTTGAACGCCTACAGGCCATACAGTCTTGCCCTGATACTGATTTTATGTGTTCCTTTGATGTGTCCAGTCTATTTACTAACGTACCATTGAGGGAAACTATTGATATCTGTGCAGACTTTTTATACGAAGGTAACATTGCTCCACCTCCTTTTCCTAAGGATATATTTATAGAACTCATGATACTATGTACTAGTTCGGTGGAGTTCAGTTTTGACAATATTATGTATAGTCAAGTGGATGGGGTCCAGATGGGCAGTCCCCTTGGCCCTGCATTGGCTGATATTTTTGTGGGCTACCATGAAATGTTACTTTTCGGCAAAGTGTCTAAACCATTTGTTTACGTTAGATATGTCGATGACACCTTTGCAACATTCTCTAATAAAAGTGAGGCTGTTGAGTTCTTTAATGAGCTCAACTCCTTACACAATGGTTTGTCTTTCACGATGGAAGGGAGAAAGACAACTGTCTGCCTTTTTTTGGACGTTTTTGTTGAACAGTAGAGGTGGTTTTATTAGTAGCATCTATCGTAAACCCACCTTTACTGGACTTTATTTGAATTGGCGTTCATTTGCTCCTGCATCAAGGAAAATTAATCTCGTTAAAACTTTGGTGTATAGAGCGCTTAAAGTGTGTTCCCCTATTAGATTGGACCGTGAATTTGGGGAACATTAGGGAGATTTTCCTTAGTAACGGCTATCGGAGGCCCTTATTGACTATATTATTAGTAAGAAAACTAGGAATTTATTCCCCCTAAAATCCAGGGTCCTTCTAAATGTCCGGTTTATTTGAAGATTCCCTGGATTGGGGATAGTGGTCAGGGCTTAATTAAGCAGGTTAGCAAGTCGGTTTCCGGTTGTTTCCCATCAGTTGCTTTACGTAGCATTTTTCAAACTAGGTCTGCGTTTCCGTCTTTTCGCAAGGATGTATTGCCCTACATCAAATTGAGTAATTTAGTATATGAATTTAATTGCCAGTGTGCTGCTGGTTATGTGGGGCGTACAACCTTGCATTTGGAAACTAGAATTAATCAGCACGTTCCTTCCAAAAATACGACTTGGTAAGATAGATAGAATATGCTATCTTCCCCCATGAATATGGAATCGGCTATTGCTCAACATTTAGTTGAGAATATAGCTTGTGCCAAGTTGTATAAAAAGAGTGGTTTAGAATTATTCATACAGCCGATTCCAATAATCATTTGAAGATTTTGGAATCGGTTGTATAGGATTTAGAAAACCTTCTCTCTGCCGGCAGAAAGAATTTATAAGGTCTCTGAATCTGTTGGGGATATTTTATTTTAACTGTCCCTCGCTATTTATTTACACGATAACCCTTCCCTCGTTACAAGTATATATACTTGTTCGTTATTTTAGTGTGTTTCCCCTTTTTTTTGCTCTTCAATATCGCTATTATTCATTTCGCTAATCCAACGATTGTCTCCTGATGAGATGTTGGCTGAAAGGGCTCTAGAGACTTTTAATATTAAAATCAATGGTTTTTTAAAAA